CCTGGGCTCCGGACTGGCATCTGGAGTGGAGGTTGGTCTTGGGAGCCTGAGTCCTTAACCTGTGAATTCTGTCACATTCTATGGGTAGACAGTTTCAGAAGTGAGTTGTGTTCTCCAACAGCCTGCTGTGGTGTTGGGTGAGTTGCTGGTTGCTGTGGGGAAAGTCTCTCCACACAGATGCAGGGACCCTGCCTACATGCAGAGCAGAAGAAACTTCTTAGAGCTAACATTTGCTAAAGCACCTATCAGCGATGCTTGCCAGGGGAGCTTGTGTTTAGCCACAGATGACCAGACACCGCTGGAGGCGAACACATCAGACTGTTTAGAGACAGAGTTCTAAGCACTTTTACTTTAAGCTTCTTAAGTGCTTCTGACACGGAACAGTTTGAGACCCCTTGAACTATTCTGTACCAGCTCTTTGGAATAAGTCCATGAAAGCCACAGGGATTTCATAGGCTCAGGTTAATCTGAAAGCTCTGGTAATACAGATAATAGGTGAAGGATAGATCTGATTTCAAAGGATGATCTTTAGATGATCCTCCAAGATAAGTGATACCAGGATGGCTAGAAGTCTCAGCCCTGACAGCACAAACAATGACACATAAGATTAGCAAACTTCCTGAGCTATTAGCACAGCAAAGGGAAGATCCAGGAACAGTGTCTCTGCTGTGGAACGAAAGTCATCCCTAAGATTTTAAATACCAAATTCTAGAAAACTGGGAACACAGAGACCCACTACCTTGCAGCCTATTTTACTCCAAGGCTTCACATGCAGGAGCAGTAAGGAAGACCAGGCATCAAGAATCCTCCAGAAGCCTACCTTGTGCTGATGCCAAGATTAAGTGATAACGATGGACTTGTTAAAAGAGAAAGCAAGAGGCTGAAATAATATTTGCTCTCATTGTAAAAGTTCCTGACTCAGAACATGGTAATATATGCCATGTTTTGAGATTGCGGAAGAGGGAGGTTCCCCTTATTGAAACCAGAGGCTTATCTACCCACAGAGGTATTGTTTGAAGACCACAGAAACTGAATTTGAAATCAGACTGTGGAAAAATAGTTCTAGCCACTTTTATATTTTATTGAGTTAGGTAGCTTACTGCCCACACTTGGAAAAAAATAATGATATGCTTATGTGGCTAGTGGTAAACAGTGAAAATTCTCGAAGCAGTCTTATCTAGGCAGTAGCATGGGTTTACAGCAGTGGGTGATTTTATGTTTGTAAATATCATAGAACATCATAAGCTGTTGCAAACTGCTGGGTTTGAGCAATGGTTCAGGAAGCAAGTTTTATGATGTATACTTTATCAAGGATGTAATGCAGTGAGAAATTAATGATATGGCATCGAGTTGAGTCCTGTTAGGTAATCCCGGTAGGGTTTCTCAAAATAAACTTTACCCACGAAGTGGAATCCAGACATACACTTGAGAATCTGGGGAGATGAGTTAAGATATGGGGGGGAAATGTTGAAATATATACAGCATTTTATTTCTCAAAAAAATGTTTAAAGCGTGACATTTTGAAAAACTGCCTGATGCCAAAGTTACCATATTGCTCAATCTCGATTAATGTCAGAACAGCTCCGCGTATTGTTGCTAACATATTATCGTTATATTATTGTTCTATATTGTTATAGTATAGTTGCATATTATTATATAATATAGATATATGTTATGATAAGTGATCATTGAAGCGTAAGTTCTGAGATGCCATCAAAACTTGAACTTGGCTACTACAACCAGTTATAGAGAGTGGGGTTTATAATCTAGAGTTGACAAACTTCATAGTGCAACTCTAAAAGTCATGCACCTACCAAGACACTGAGAACTTCCTTGTGATTAAAAAAATAAATCCTTTGAGAGAAGACTTCACCAAGGGTCTAATGAATAGGGTGGGCGGGCACACCAGGTAAGTTGTTGATTCCCTTAGTCCCCCCACACACACATTGTGTGTGTGGCAATGAACACATACAAGCAGCTTCCAGGACACACACAAACAGCTTCCGGGACTCACAGCAAACCCTGAGAATGTCAGTGACAGACTTGGGACCTGGATACCCAGCACCTGGCATCTCTGATCCCAAGACATTGACAAGCACAATGACAGCCACAGACAAGGAAGGGAATTTCAAAATCACTGTTTTCAATGCTAGTCATAAAATTCACCAAAGATCAACATTCACTTGTGACATATTTGGCATGGAGTAGGTGCATAGTAACATGTACTGAATAAATATTTAAATAAACTCACTCTAGTGATTACAGTACAAATATAACTTAGTGACTCATATCCTGGGGAAATATATAGATTCATGAAAGTATCATGATTAAGTTAATAGCAAAATATTCCAAGTCATGGAATTCCAGGGTAGACAGACTTTTTTTTTCATCACTTAAGATTTATTTTTGTGAAGGGTAGAGGTTTTGGCTTACAATTTTCTTTTTTTAAAAATTTATTTAAATATTATTTTTTTCTTATAACATTTGCTTTCTTTTCTCAGGTGTAGTCCCTATAGAATTTGGTGGACAGACTTAAATGTGAGCCCTGATATGCAGAGAAAAATGTTGGATTATTCGGGCAAGACATACTATTAATAATAAGGCAATCAGCAATTATAGATATCACTACCCAGGGTGGAGATAAAAATATCTTGGTAATAGGCAGTAATTGAGGAGTCTATAAATACACAATCCTTGATGGGCAGATAAGGAAAAGAATGAATGTTTCCTAACCAAAGTCAGTAGAAAATGGTTTGAGAATGGCAAGATTCTCACAGCCCTACCCAGAGGATAATACCATTTATAAAAATTATTTATAGTTACTAATAAAAATGATTTCAATATTTTATCTCTTTCAGCTCTAAAAAAACAGATTAACCACTAGTCTGGGCGGGGTGGGGGGCGTGAAATGGAGATGGAGATCACGTGAAAGTGAGCAATGAATACACGGAGAATGAAGGACCTCATTACCTAGTGGTGGGCGTTTGGCTAACTTAGCGGAAGCTTCTGCACAGTTATCTGGACTGCTGAATCTATCTTGTCCTTGGCTGCTGTGATGTCTTAATAATTTATCAAGGGGAACCATTAGAAGGATGCTAATAATCGTGGCAGCGTGGTGAGTTGACATGAATGGAGCAATTAACTCAGAGGCTGGCTCACGGCTGTGGCTGAGTAGGTACATGTGCAGTGATTATCCGAGTTACGTCTTTGCAGGTTGGGTGAAGACCGGGGAGGGGGCTGCCCCTCCCCTGCCCCATGCAAACCCTGGGTTTTCCTAGCAGGGCGGGGGGGGGGAGATACCTTCATGACGAAGAAGAGGAAGATGATGATGACTACGTTGACCTGTGGGTGGATCCAGACAGCGGACTGGCCCAGGCTTTCAGGGTCACCGGTGTGTTTCACCCACGTGTTGTTGTCAAACAGGGTACTGATGGCTTCTCGAGGCATCAGCTGTGAGAGGAAGAAGCAAAGGGGGTTCGGGGGGTGGGGGGAGACCGTTCTCCCTTTCTGGGCATTCCCTTTCTGGAGGGAACAGATCCCCCAGCCTCATGGTTCCCTTACTCCAGGATCCCTTGTTCTTTCCTCAAGGACAGATTCTACCCTTCGGGCAACGTGTCTGATGCTCAGCAGCCCAGGGACACGGTCCGAGGCGTGTGCTCCGTGAGCTGACCCCCAACCTCAGACCTCCCCATGGCTGACCTCTCCGGCCATGAATTGACCCATTCCTGGTGGGAAGGTGAGCGAGGCGATGACAAAGGTAATGACGCCAGGATACAGCAGGCGGCTGAAAGGGAAGCGGAGGGAGGGCTCCCCTAAGTGAGCCAGCCCCCGAGGGTGCCGCCGGGTGCTCCGGCCAGCCATGTTTCCTGCAGACCGCTGCTGTCTCGTTTTTTTTCCCAGCAAAGAGCATCCTCTGAGACCATCAAAAAGCACTCCTCAAAGGAGAAACCACAGCAGGTGCTCCCAGAGAGTATCAGCGCTTCCTTCTCTCTTATCACGAGCCACCTACCGGCTTCCAGTGCCTTCCGTGGACATTAAATGGGAGCAGCTCTTGGAGAAAGCAGAGAGGACATGGGGAGGGCCAAGCAATGGCAGTGACTCACTGCTTAGCAAGAAACTGGCTGAGGGCCTTGTGCTTTCGGACGCCCTGCATGACTTGGCGATGCAGGTACACAAAGACAGCTCCCAGGAAGCCGCAGCAGATTCTGAGGGGTAAGGAAGGCAGGCATGAGGCCCTCAGCCTCGGGCCTCGCCCTGCAGGGGCTCAAGGCCTGGGCCAGCCAGCTAGTCACCCCCTTCCACAGTGGCACTTTATCACCGCCCGCCCCACCCTCTGCCCGTTTGGGTCCCTGCCAATCCAAAGCCACACCCCAGCCTGGGCTCACCACTCCCAGAGCGGGTGACCCCACTGACCCAATGATGGCAAAGGCTGGCAGTTCCTGCAGGTCAAAGGGGAAATCCATTCGGAAGTTGGTTCTGAAGAGAGCGGTGATGGTGACTGCAGGTTGGAAAGGTCAAGGGCCCCCGTGAGAGGGGCCCAGAGACCCGGAGCAGGGATCCGAGGCTCGCGGCTTTCAGGGTCAATTTCTCTCTTCCTCCAAGTTCAAGGTCTACTTTTCTGTTTAATTTATTTTTTCCAATGTGCAACCTCTCCCCGCCCCCGCCTGCCCTACTCCAGGTCTACATCCTTCCCCTCCATCCTTGGGCCTTGGTCGCACCATCTGTTCCTGCCTTGTGCTGCCCAGAGAGCTCCCCTCCCTGTCTCCCCAGCCTCCAGCCTCCACCCCAGGCTCTGGTTACCGGCATCCTTGTTCCACACCGCCAGCACGCGGAAGACAAAGGCACTGAAAGTGGCTGCGAAGAATCCTCGCCAGTAGTTGCGCACGGCAAAGTACGTGGAGGTGACCTCGATGCTAAAGAGCACCCCTGAGGGACGTGGGGTGTGGGTGCAGGGTCAGGAGCAGGCCAAAGTGGGAGGCTCCACGCCACACCCTTGACCGTGAGCTGCAGCTGAAACCTGGGTCCTGTGGGAAGCACCAGGCTCCAGGGGAGCCACGTGGCAGCTGTGCTGACGGGCCTTGCCCCCTCTTGTTCAACGAGACACAGAGAGATGGAAATGGGGGGCCAGTGAGATACAGAGGTGGAAAAGGAGGCCGCAGCCTGCAAACAGCAGGTCAGGAGGGCGTGCCTCTCCGTCCCTTAGAGAGTAGGGAGGGTAAGACACGCCGTGGGGACGCAAAGGGCCTTGAAAATACCCTTGAAAGGGGCCTGAGCTAGCACTCAGCCCAGTGCAAAGCTCAGCTGCCCCGTCTCCAGCTCCTCGGCTGCCCCTCTGTGCGCTGGGGCAGGTTTATGAGAAGAAATCAGAAAAGCAGGAAAGGGCGTTGCAAGAGCTGACAATACTCAATACTCAAACAGAGGCACCATTTGAATATTCAAAACTTAATGTGACAAACCTGACTTAAGAGGATCAAATGAAAACTCAGGCTAGAGGGAATGAAAGCCGGCGGTCTGTAACATGGGCAGGTGAGCCAGCGGGAGCCGGCTGGAGCGCTAACCAGAGAAGACAGCGAGGAGGGAGCAGCAAAATCGCAGGCTGGTAGGGACAAGCAGGTGCCTGTTCAGGGCTGAAGAGCAAGCTCCAAGGGCCGCACAGGAATCTGTGAATATGCACGAGTCTCCCCTGATGTGTGGTTTTACTTTCCGAGGGGTCAGTTAACCCGAGGTCAACCTCAGGGGGAAAATATTACGTATATTAATAAAGCTTTTTGAGAGAGAGCCCGTTCTCACAACTTTTATCACGACACATTGCCATGCCTGCTCTATTTTATTTGTGGTGATTGCTGTTAATTTCCTACTGCACCTAGCTTATAAATTAAACTTTATTGTGTATGTGTGTGTGTTGTCAAAACCCGGATTGCTAGGGTTCAATGCTATCTATAGTTTCAGGCCACCTCGGGGTGTCTCCCCCTGAGGATGGGGGGGCGGGCACGGTATGAAAGATAACAGAGTGGACTTTGCTTAGATGCAGAGTAAAAACTGACAGCCAGATTACCAGATTACCTAATACCTGGTTAAGTCACACCCTTATCAAAAATGAGAGGGGCGGACCAAGAAAATAAAACACAAAATTAAATGAGCAGGGAAGAGGCCCCCCCCAAATCCAGAACAGGAGGGGGCGGTGGGGCCGGCCAGGGCAAGGGCAGGGGAGAGGAAAGAAGAGACGGGAGAGGACAGAATGGGTGGAATTTCAGAAAACAGAATGAGGGAACAGGAATCTGGGGCAGACAGCTCTGCCAGTCACCCCTTCCGCCCCGGCTCCTCAAATCACATCCGCTAAGGCAGCTACCACTTGGGCTCACAAGGAGGGTTTGGCACAGCCAGGTGGAGTCGGCCCGCCTCCTTTTCTTCTCCAGTAACCGAACCCAGCAGCTCTGGGCTGTCTGGTGCACACTACCGCACTCACGGATCTCTCACAGCCACTTTTTGAAATCCTAGGTTGGATTTTCTTTCCCTCCCACCAGAGGTGGCTCTTTCTCTGACAGCCTGTCACGGTGCATTTGGGAAGGAGAGCTAATTCTAATATTAATCTGAGCCCAACACAAAACGTGTTGCTAAAAGGAAACAAAGCAAGAGAAACACGAACAACTTCTAGAAGGTGCCGGTGCCCTGGGCCCTGCGGGTCAAGGTATTCTCCCACCCTGGCTACCTTCTCCGTCTCTGTCCTCTCCTCTGGCTCTTAGCCTCTGCCCCACCCAGGGCCGTGGCCTTTACCTTTGCTGCGACAGACACATTCTTTTCTGCATGTCATGGCCACTGTGGCCTCAGCTGCCACCTGCCTGCAACCTTGCAGCCACCCAGCCCTGCCTCTTGGCTCTCTGGACCTGCCACAGGACCTTCGAATTCAGCATGTTCAAACTGATTTATCAACTGCCCAGACCTGTTTCACTTCCCACATTCCCTCTTGAGCTTGCTAGTGCCAACACCCACTCAGTTTTCCTTGTTGTAAACTTGGGAGTTCGCCTAGGTTCTTCCTCCCCTTATCCTCACATTCCCCCATGACAGCAGCTGCCAGCTCACACTCCGCTCACTTCCCACGGCGCCACGTGGACCAGTCAGCCTCCTCGCGGTCCCTCCTGTCCAGCTTGCTCTCTCATCCCCCAGCATTAGGATGGCACAAGAGGCACATTCCTCTTGACTAACCCCGTGAAGCCACAGGCCCGTTCTCTCCTGCAGGCACAGCGCAGGGGACCAGAGGAGCATGCAGAGCTGGCTGGCTCCTTCCTCCGTCAACATCCTCCCCTGCTCCTCTTCCACCATGATAACATTTCCCCTCATCAGACCCCACTCTATCCTTCCAGTCCCCGGAGAAGATCCTTGCAGATCTTCTGTGGGAACAGCCTCGTGGACCCTTGGCTTTGGACACTCACCAAGCCTGGTCACGGGTCCAGTTTCAGAAGTGACCAGGCGATCCAGTGAACGAGTGAGGAAGATTCTCCGACTTATGTGGCCTGGGAAACTTTTATTCCCCTGAGCCATCTATTGATACCATGAAGAAGTATAAGAGACCCTGACAGAGAGTGAAATCTACATTCAAGTGTGTGGTCTCCAGTTTCCTGTCCAGAGTTCATTTCCTGCAGCCTCTGGGCATTGCATCAGCGGGAGGATCCTCTCACACTTGACTTTGCTACAATGTTGCCTTTGAGACGTGTCTACACTGCATCCTCACCTGCCTCCTTCTGCAAGAACCCGCCCAACACTTAACACGCAGGTGTCAGGTCCAACCCCAGCTTTGTCAACCTTCCCTGGACACCTGGCTTTGAAGGCGGTGCCCAGGCTGTGAGTGGAGTGTCTGGGAGTGGCTGCGACTAGCTGGTCAGCTGCCTGCTGACCTCACAGGTTGCTGCTTGGGACCTCAGAGGAAACGGTGGGAGCAAAGGCCGTTTGTCATGATAGTAGAATAGGAACGGACTGCTTTTATAGCATAAGGAATTCAGAGTTCACATAGGGAAGAACTGACCTGAACTCTCTTTTCTCTTTCATAATTCATGTTCATAAAGAACCAACAGGTCATCAGGGGAGAAAATGATAATAATAAGGAACAACTGTACACCAGAGACATTTTCTGGGGACGGATGGAGAATGGATCAAAAATGGCGATGGCACACGGGTGAATTGGTGGTGGGAAGCCCAGGGGATTACAACTGAGATGGAAAATGGCACAAAATGATGTAAAAATAAACTGTTATATTAAAAGAAGAAGAAGCAACAGTTCATGCTACCTGCAAGTGCATCAGGTACTTCACGCAGACATCCTGAAACACCTAACTTTTCAGTGCCTATAGTTTTCCTGTGTCACAAACAAAGCTTCATTGTGACTTTCCTCTGGTCTTGCACCCTCTATCCGGACCAGGCATGGCTGTCCTCATGACCCAGAATTTCCAAGTTTATACAGAAAATGCTGCATCTCTTCATTTCAAAGAATCTCCTTAGCCCCCACCACCCCATTTTTGCCACTAAAAACGTTCTTTAGTTCTTTTGGATTTGTTAAGGGAAAGAGTGAGGAAAGGTGAAAATGGGTGTGAACATTTACTGCGCGCAGAAATTCAAGCGCCCCACCCCATCCCTGATGGGGACTGATCACTTTAGTGACGAGCGTTGACAACAGAAGTGTGGGTACAGACACACTCCCTGCCTGCTCCTTGCCCTGTCACCTTCGGCCACACCTTGTCGCAGGGACAGGCGAGTATGACATTTTTATTAACTCCTCAGGGTCGCCCATGGAGCATTCCTGAGCCATGCATTTGAACTTCCCAGAAAGACTGCCAGGAAAGGACGGATCACACGCTCATCACTGCAGGGAGCCTCCCAATGGCTGGTGTGTTTAAGAACCATACACCTTCCCTGCAAATTTGTGTCTCCACTTGTTAACATGTGTCCTTTTTTTTTTTTTTAATGATCTATGAATCCACTGCATGATTCCATCACCTCTGCTCCGTTAATCTGGCAGCAAGAGATGGTGCTGATATGTCATGAAGCAAAAGTTCCAACTCCTTCCTGTGACTACGCCATTTGTTAGTCATCCAGGGAAATCCTCAGAAAGGTCACCCTTTGCCCTACAGATGTGGAAAGCGCCTCTACTGTAACTCTGTGTGAAGGAACAATCACGCTTTTTTTTTTTTAACTCCTTGAAAACGGGCCCTCATTCCCACATCCTTAATAGCTCACAAAAAGAATGGGATTTGCCTCGAGTCCCCTCTAGAAGATGGAAAAAGTGAAGTCTAACAACACAAAAAGGTTGGAAGGTAAGTAGGGGGGTGGGGAGGTGCCCCGAGCCCTTGCTGCCTGGCCAAGCCCCCTCTCTGCGACGGGCTCTCTCATCCAGCCCAGCTGCTCCCTGGGGGAATAATGGAAAAGCGCCGAGGACATTGCCTGCACTTAGTGGACGCTCCTTGGAGTCAGCTGTGCCTGCTCTAGTCTCGTTTTCAATAATATATGGTGCGGCTGCCACGTGGGTGCTGCTGAGCAGACCGCCTGGGCAGCGAGGTCAGGCGAGTGGACAGAGAGGTAGCAGGGGTGAGTCACTTGCCTCCGAGTGGCGTCCCAAAGCAGCAGCCGACTCCCACCGCACAGCCCACCGTCAGAGTGTCGGTGTAGTAATAGGGCTGCTACTGGGGGAGAGACAGACGGGGGGACGCGGCGGAGGGTCGGGGGGCAGGGAGAGACAGAGGAACAGGCAGGGTGGGAGACAAGGCAGAGGCGAGGCTTAAGTCACAGGGAACCACAGTCGTCGGCCCAGACCCCCGCGGCCCCCAGGCCAAGAAAACCCAGGTGGCAGACAGGAAGTGACCGCTCAGCCAGGGCCAACCTTAGAAAATGACACCGAAGTTAAGAGAACGTTTGGGAGGCCGCTAAGCCAAGAGGGGTCACCAGCAAGGGACTCGAGGCGGGGACAGTCAGGTTGGGAGGTGTCCAAGCAGGGAGAGGCTTGGGACAAATGGTCCCCGATGAACTGTGGCCTCACCGTGGCCATGGTCTTTGGCAGAGGTCTGAGTGTCCAGAGAACAGGGCCTGGGGGCCAGGGTCATTCCTGACTGCCCACCCACCCGTCCCTCCAGTGCACACCGCCCTCCGCCCTGAAGCACCCGGGCCTCGAGTGTGGTGCTCAGGCCACGGGCAGGGAGGAGCAGGACTTGCCTCCGATGGGGGCTGCGAAGCAGCAGCCCACGCCCACCGCGCAGGCCGGCACCAGGAGGTCAAGCTGCCCAGGCACGGTCTGCAACAGAGAAGCGCGCGGCCAGGAGACAGGGGGGCAGGGGCAGTGCCTGCGAGACGGGGCGGGAGCCGGGGCCCCCAGGGGCGGGGCACGTGGGGGCTGAGGGCCAGCGGGGGTCACACAGGGCAGCTGACGGTGACGCAGGGACACGGGTCCAGGCGAGGGGGCTGACGAGCGCGCAGGCCGGCTGCGGTTAGGGCAGGCAGCCTGGGGTGTGGGTGCGGAGCGTGGCTTAGCGCAGCGCCCCACTTCAGCATCACGGCCAGCGCAGAGCAAAGGCAGCCCCCCACGGCCGGCACCCTGGACCCACATGGCCCCTGTCCCGCTGGACTTTCTCGGCCTTACCTCGTACACCCCGCAGAACACGGACATGAACTTGCTGAGCACAGCGGCACAGATGCTGGCGATGTGGACGAAGGGGCCCTGGACGGGGCACACGGGAGGGGTCAGGGGAGGCCAGAGGGGAGCCACCTGTTGCTCCCTCCCTGGGCCGGGCGGTGGAAGGCACGAAGGTAGAGGTTCTGCTCCCGGAGGCCACACCAGAGGGGCAGGAGGTGATCACAGCATTCGGGCCATTTCAGAAAAGACTAAGTCGTGGAGAAGATGAGGAGGTGGAGGGCTAGGACAGAGGGGTGAAGACGGGCTGCTTGGGGGGGCCCCAGGGAAGCCGAGGCAGGTGGCGTTGGGTGCGCCGTGACTGAAATGCCACCGGGGGGCCACTGGGGTCAGGACGGGGTGGGGAGGAGGGGGCACTGCCCGGGTCAGGGCTGCGCCAATTGTTTGTGACGGAGGCGGAAAACCTAGTGACCCGGCCCCGGTGAAGGAGGGGGCGCCTGAGCGGACAGGCCGTCACCCCACCGCAGGCCTCCCAGGCCCCAACGAGAAGTTCAAGTTGCATTGGCAGGAGACTGGAGAGCCACGGGGGGTTCCTGACCACAGGCCAGACAGGCTGATTCCACTTTGCAAAGATGACTGCCTGCCTGTCCCGCTTCCCACTCTGTCTCTGGTGACATCTCTCACACCCCGCACCTCTGGCCTGTACCCAGGTTCTTGTATATATAAATAACTAAAACTTTGAAGAAAAAAAAAAGGTGACCGAGAGCTGTGGGGAGCATAGGTCTGTCTCGGGACGAGAATGACCTCGGGAAAGGCACAGGCTCTTTCTAGATCAGACCTCGCATATTGAACATTAAAACGGAGTGGAGCTGGTTCTCACCTGCAGGAGGTTTTGCCCTTGGGACATCTGGCAGAGCTACAGATGTTCTGATTGTCACATCTGGAGGCTGCTACTGGCCTCTAGCTGGTAGAGGCCCGAGGAGCTGCTGAACCCCTACACTGCTCCAGGCAGCCCCCCAGAACAAAGCAGCCCTGAGCACAGATGAGTGCTCCTGGCTCCGATGAACTTTCCTATTCTGCCCCAAAGCCGGGGTGTCCCGAGTGTCTCCCCTCCCCAGGCCCCCTGGCCCAGTGCCCGCCGGCTGCTCCCAGGGGCCCCGGGCCGTTTCCTGCTGTCCAGGAGGTGGCCCTGCCATCGCCTCGGGGGCAGCACGCCTACCTCCTTCCCCACGGGGATGCCGCTGCCCAGCCCTGCGGTCAGGGCCACCACCTTGGCCACGAAGGCCTTGAGGGTGAGGTATTCCTTCAGGACAACGCCGCGGAGGATGGTCTTCATTTCAGGGATTCCAGAGCCTACAGGGAGACAAAAGCCAGTAGCTGCGGGTCCCCGATGGAGCTTGGAGGGAGATGGGCATCGGGAGAGGGATGGTGGCGGGTGACATCAGGGGTCATGGCCGCAGCCGGCGACAGGGCGTCCCTCGGGCTGGGCGAGGGGCGAGGTCGTGGATGGCTGAGTCAACGGTGGTGGTGACCTGACCGGGACGAGGGCGTGGGAGGGGCTCTCACCAACAGCCTGGGGAGAGATGAGGTGGCAAAAGAGGGCGCTGAAGAGGATGAGGACGAGGGGAAAGGTGACCCAGGCCAGGTACTGCAGCGGCAGGTTGGGTTGCATCCGGTGGTACGTCCACTTGTAGGCTGCGGGACGCCGCGGGCTCAGCCCCTGGGGAGCGACAGAGGCCGCCAGGGCCACCCCCACCCGCCTCACAGGTCGGCCTGCCCGGGGCTCTGGGCAGCGGCAGGGGCCGCCCGTGGGACCTCACGAGAGGGTCCTGTTTCCGTGTGAAATGCAGGGGCGTGGATGAGACCCGCTCCAGTTCCATCCCTCGTGAGAGGTACAGGCCGGAGGCCACAGACTCCGGAACCAGAGGTTGAGCGACCAGAGGTCAGGCTAGCCCAGGACTGAGGGGTGTTGGGCTCACGGTCGTCAGCGTCCTGGGAAACCTGGGGTGAGTGGTCACTTCCCGGAGGACACCCACAGATCGGCTGGCAGCTGGGGGAAGCTTCTGACCTTATCCTGGGCAGAGCTGTGTCTGGTCCTCCGAATGAACCCACAGAACCCCCCGCTCCCCCGCCAGGTCCAGACTCCAGAAACAGCCACGTTAGCTGGGAGGGGCGGACGGGAAAGGACCAGGTCACTCTCACCCTGAAGGGTTTTGGCGCTGACGTAGTCCATGGTCCAGCTAACCAAGGCCATGAGGAGGCCCAGGAGTACCAGAAAGATCCAGTCTTCCCCTAATTTTCTTCTCACCACACGACCCAGGCGGCGGAGACAGTCTAGAACCCAAGCGAGAAGAGCAGCTAAAGCTGCCACCCCAGAGGGGTGACTGAGGCTGGGTGTGTCTGTGCAGCCCAGCCGCCGCTTTCCTACCCGTCTCTGCCCTTCAGAGGTGCCAGAGTCAGACTCCCCAGAGTGTATGTGAGCTCCTTGCTAAAACTCATGCTTGGGCCCTCCCTCGTAAGTTAAAGCGCAGTAAGTTAAAGCGCAGCGCTATGAAGCTATCGCAGCCACCGAAGCGCGAGTTCGATCCCTGGCCAGGGAGTGACCCACAGGGTGCGGCAGACGGCTCCTGTCTCCCCGCTGCTCCCCTCGGCGGTGCATTTCAGTAGATCTGCCCATCTGCCCCCCACTCTGTCTCTGGTGAGTCCTCTTACCCCTGCGTCTCTGGCCTGCACCCTAGTTCTGTACGCATAAATAAACCGTAAAAAATAAAATAATAAAACTCAGCTTCCTGGGGTTGTCTGGGAGGGAGAGAGGGGCCAGGCGGAGCAGAGCCAGGTGGGAGGAGGTGGGGAGAGGAGCCTCCTCTGGGACTTGGTGGAGGGCCCTGATGGGGTGGGGGAGCACGCCACCAGCACCCCAACGTAGTGCCCCATGGCCGCGCTCGCCAGTCCCCACCAGCCCCATCACCTTGACACTTTGAGCAGTGGTCCTCATCCTTGCTGTCCAAGGTGGCCCTGGAGCCTGTCTTCTTGGGCATCCCCACGTCCTGCTCCTTGTCTGGGCTGGGCTCTCTGCGGTGGCCATAAATCTGGACAGAGGGAGACTGGGAAATGTCTGTCTTGTCGATGCGTCGAAAGCAAGAGACAGCGTGAAGTGGATAAATCCACAGCCCTGGGCGGTGAGGGCCTCAGCGTTCTGTGGCACCTTTCTCCTGCTCTTCAGCCTCGGCTCTGACCCCGCCTCCATCTCTGCAGCTTACGGGGTGGTGGGGGACACAGTGTCTGGGCGAGCAGGCCCCACAGGGGCCTCCCGTGTCTGTGCTTGCCGATCCCACCTCTTGGTAACACCCCCAGACACCCCTTTCCTTCTGGAGTCTCGGGGGACAGGGGAGGGGGTGGCCAGGGATTCTTGGTTTCTCTTGCGTGCTGTGTCCAGCCTGTCTTGAGCGCTCCCACCCCGGCCTCTGTCAGCTTGGAGAAAGCCCCTCCACCCAGAGCCATCAACCCGGAGAAGGCAAATGGAGCCCCTTCTTCCCGGGCATGACCATGCCGTGTGCCCCCCACGTGTGATGTCTTCCGCTGTCCGGCCCGTGCGGCGGCGGGGGAGGGGCAAAGGCTCCCACTGCCTTCAGCCTCCCCACCGTCTCCGGGCCGGGGTCAGGCCAGGCCGCCTTGCTGGTTCTGGGAGAGCCTGGTGTGGATCTGATTTCACAACACAGCAGCTGAGTCTGTGCGGCCACCTGGACGGGCCAGAGCAGGGCCCCGCCCACGGCTGCTGCGCTGGTGACCCAGGAAGACGGCCCCCCAACCCCCTCCTGGGACCCAGTGAGAGGACAGGGGAGCCGGCTGTGATGAGGGGGGCCCACCCCACCCCACGCGTCAGCTGGAATCACGAGAAGACCAGATTTGTGCTGGTGGGTTCAGGGGTCCCTGGAACAAAAGTTCTCCCCTTAGTTTTAGGGGCGAGGCAGAGATGGATGGACCCAACCTCGCGGACAAATACAGCTGATGGTTTAGGCCGCCTCAGGACCGAGCCCCCGGCAACATCATTCCGTTCTGTTTCCGTGTAAGTCTGAAATACCCCATAGCTGCAACGAAGCCAAGAAAACCTTAAACCCAATCTCCTTTCCGGCTTCCAAGGCCACACGGACACCAGGCCAAGCTGACGCCCCCATAAATTTGCCACCCTTTTCACCATGGAGCTTCCCGCTGCTTGGGCTGCCTTCCTCACTGTCTCCAGAAATGACCGAAGTGGCCTTCCCACCAGAGGGGCAGGGGGCCACGGGGGCCTGTCCAGGAAGCCTTCTCTGACCCCCTCCAACTTTTATGTCCCCACCCCAAGTTTTTCCAGAGCTATTCTGCAACCTCTTTGGAGACTGACCGGGGCTGGGACGTGGGTTCTCTTGACCATTCTTCCCCGCGCCCCCGTGCTGGGGTCACCTGCACAGACCATCCCCTCAGGTTCCCAGCCCCATCCAGGTCCCCTCCACCAAAGGAACTGCAGCCTCCCCTGACCCCGGTGGCACCGCCCACCCTGCTTATCCCAGACACTAAATCTCGGTTTCCCGGGTCCTCCTGACTCGCCCAGCCTCACTCTGAGACCAGCCACTCGCCAGCCAAACCTCTGGTTTATCCGGTCAGTCGCCCAAGCTTCCCTGCGGGGCGCCCCTCCCGCTCCCCCAGCTCACATGTCCATAACCCGCCCTCCCCGCGCCAGGACCATGTTTACTCCCGACACCCCGTTACTTCGAGAGCCCCACCTCTGTGTTTTTCAGGTCGCCCACTCAGGCTCGCAGGGGATCGCGTCCCGCCTGCAGGTCTGACTACCCTTTGGGGCTCCTGTCGCCCCGTGTGGCCTCTATGGCTGATGTGCGTTCAGCCTGCTCTCCGGCTGCTGCCAGCTCCTGCCAGCTCCTGCCCTCTGCGGGAGTGTCAGTGGGTGTGTGTCCCGCTGCGGCCGGCAGGGAGGGGTCTGCAGCTGTCTGCCTGTGAGTGAGGGTGTCAGGGCTCCCCGCACGCACGCACGCACGGGAGCTGCAGCCCCTGTGTGGGGTTATGTAAGCAGGAGCTCCTTGCCCCGGGAATGTGTGGGTGAAGTTATGTAAAAGTGCGTGTCCGCAGTGCACACCTAGCCAAGGCCAGCCCAGGCAAGGACCGATCCATTGAACGTATCGCTCTGGACTTCACAAAGCTAAAACCAGGATGACACGGCTGCCTCTTCTCGCCCTTCCCCGAATGTCCCCCCCATGCATCGCCCTGCACCAGGGTCTCCTGAGTCCACCACCCCTCCCCTCAGCATTTACCTGTGTGGGGCGGGTGTTGGGACGGGGGCCTGCATCCCTGTGGAGCCGGTGCTGAGGGCCCCCGTTCTCCGAGGGCAGTCCGTAGCTGGTGCAGTGCTCAAAGGGCATATACTGGTACTGGGGGGCACTACCCCACCAGCTTGGCTCGTCCGTGCGCTGGTGGGACCCAGGAGGCTCCATGCTCCCTCCCCCCGGCCAGGCCTTGGCCGGCTTGCCCGTCCTCCCCCCAATCCGGTTCCTTAAGCCTTTCTACTTGCACGTCCCCAAGGAGTCTGGGGCATCATGCCCACCCCTGGCTATTTATAGCCATCTCACTGTCACATGACCCCCCCCACTGCACATCTGATCTGCTTGGGGTCGAAGCAGGTGTGAGGCCTGGCGGGGGAGAGGCAGGGGTGGGAACCTCAGGACAGCCCCACGGGAATGCCCGTGGCCAGGGGCCAGCCCGGCCACCCCCTCCTTGGTCTCCCGGAGGCTTCCAGGCCCAGGCCACCGGCCTCTCTAGGCTGTGCCCAGCCCAGGATGGAGGGACGCTCTGTGCTGTCCGCCTGGCTGGGGCCCAGGCTGCACCCCTTCTCTGCAGGCCCCTCGAAGGGGAGGCGTGGCTGCCGGCTGGGCTCGCGGGGGGCACTCACCGGGCTCAGGAGTCGGAGTCTCTCTGCCCTCGCTCCCCGTTGGGTGGCTCTTGGCTCTGTCTCTTCCCGCGGTTTTGTCCCCATCGGTCTGACCAGCTCTCCCAGCCCAAACAATTTTTCATTTTCACCTCCAGCTCTGCCTTTTTCTGCCTGTGAATAATGCTGCGGTGCCACCCATGACGTCACTCTTATCACCCACTGGGCGTGGGCACTTGTGGGGAACAGCCCTGGGTTCAGGCATCTTTCCTGATTCCCAGACGGGTCGGTGCTGTCACGCCAGGAGCCTGGACTCTCGGCTCAGGGAGGGATTGAGGTGCATCTCAGACAGGGGTGCACCCCCGCCCCAGGCCATCTGGCCAGGTTAGATAGTGGGGCGAGGAAGGGGAAGTGGCCGCACAGGGGGGAGGCGAGGGGAGCGGCAGTGAGCGCTTCCCACAGATGCGGGAGATGATGGGGAAGTCCTCTCAGCCATTCTTCCCTTTTCAGGTCAATAAATACTCTGGGCAAGGTCAAACCACCCTGGCACCATGTTATCTATTTTTTCCAAACCAATTTTCCTAGGATCTTCCTTCCCTATGAACTGCTGGCTAAAAACGAAAAGTTATTCCTATCAGCCCATGTGGAGTTCAGAGCCCACGCCAGCGGGGAGTGTGTGTACAGGGAGACAAGGGGAGGACACCAAGCATCCGCCTACAAATTAAGTGTCGCTGAAGTGACACCGCTTAGTAATGGTGCTATCGGTCTCCGTGCGTGGTGTTATCGGTCTCCATGCATGGTGCTATTGGTCTCCGTGCATGGTCCTGCAACTCCAGCATGCAGATGCTCCGTAAGGACGGCACCTGGGACCCTCCCTGGTGCTGCTGTGGGTTGGAGCGCTGCACTGTGAAGCTAAGCCCAGCTGTGGCCGCTTCAGTGCGAGTTCGAGCCCCACCCTGGAGGTGACCCACGTGGCACAGCAGACCTCTCCTGTCTCCCCGCTGCTCCTCTCAGCAGTGTACTTCATCCACCTGCCTGTTCTGCTCCCCACTCTGTCTCTGGGGAGTCCTCTCAACCCCCACACCTCTGGCCTGTACCCCAGTTCTGTATGCATAAATACATAAATCTTAAAAAAAAAGATGGCATCCAAAGAAAAGATCACTGCCCCCACCACGCAACTGACCTCCTTGACCATTTTACACCCCCCCTTTTAAAAAATTTATAATAGTTTATTTTTACATATTTTTGTGCATTTTCCCATCTCAGTTGCAATCCCCTTGGGTTTCCCATCCCCAAATCACCCATGTGCCCTCACCATAGTCCAGTGCATTTCCCTCCCCACCCCCGTTTTTGATCCCTTTCCCCACTCTGCCCCCACAAAATGTCTCTGGTAGCTGTTCATCATTATCATTATTTTCTCACCTGTTCTGTTATACTTCTGCTATGAGTGAAACCATCCAGTATTTTTCTTTCTCTTTCTGGCTTATCTCAATAAGCCTGATCCCTTCCAGCTCCATCCAAGTTGCTGCAAAAGACATGTGTTTCCTTTTTTGGTTGCTGAGTAATATTCCATTGTGTATATGGACCACATCTTTCTAATCCAGTCATCCACTTTTGGGCATTTGGGCTGTTTTCATGTCTTTCCAATTGTGAATAAAGCAGCAATAAACATGGACACCCCCTCCCTTTTAAAAAGAGATTTATTTTATTTATGCATCCAAGGTAAAATGGGATGTAGGCCAGAATGTGTATGTGGGAGGGGGCGAGAGGATTCACCAGAGGGAGAGTGGAGAATAGAACAGGCAGATCTACTGAAATCCACAGGCGAGGTCTGCTGTGCCATGTGGGTCACTCCCTGGCCGGGGATCAAACTCGTGCTGCGGCGGCTGCAGACAGCTTCATAGTGCTGAGACTTAGTCCCTTGTGCCACCAAGGAGGCCCACTTTACACCCCTTTCCCTTCTGGTAGTAGCATTTGATGCCTGTCGTCCAAGAGTTTGCTTGCTTTAATGTGTTCCTTTGTCTCTCACATGTGAGTCAGTCCGTAGGGAATTTGTCTTTCTTGCTTAGCGTCGTTTCCTCTGGTTCCATCCATGTGGTCACCCACAGCAAGAGTCCAGCTGTTCTCTTGAGTCCTGGTCTATTGTGTACAGATATCACCTCTTCCTGACCCCTTCATCCATCGATGGGCACTTAGGTTGTTTCCAAATCTTAGCTCTGGCAAATACTGCTGCAGGGGCCCCAGGGCTGCACGTTGCCCTTGGCATCCGTGTGGAAGACCCAGACCGCTTCATGGTGTGTCATCCTTGTGCTGGGTCACGCTAATCTCTGTATCGACCCGAGTCGAGTGTTGGTATTGCTGCTCAACACTTCAATTTTGATCCAGGTTAAGTGGAACAGCCCAAAGCTGCTGGGAAGATGGAGTCATGGAACGCCCCTTTTCTAGCATAATCCTGCAAACCCGAAGGCCGACAGTCTACCCACGAAGATTACAAACATGATGATTCGAGGGATGGAAGCTTCTGTGACGTCCACCTCTTCTGCATAAGGAACATAAGGAAGGAGATTTAAGGGCTGGTGTGTGATGACTGGAAAGCTTTCTTTTCTTTTCTTTTTTTTTTTTTAAAGATTTATTTATTTGTGCATACAGAACTGGGGTACAGGCCAGAGGTGCAGGGGCAGTGAGAGGATTCACCAGAGACAGAGTGGGGAGCAGAACAGGCTGACTGATGAAGCACACTGCTGAGGGGAGCAGCGGGTGGGTCAGGAGAGGTCTGCTGCGCCCTGTGGGTCACCTCTGGGGTAGGCGGGGATCGAACTCATGCTGAAGTGGCTTTAGCCTCTTAGTTCTGTGCTTTAACCTGCTGCGCCACCAGGGAAGGCCAGGAAGGCTTTCTTAATAAAGAAAATGGACCACTCAGGGAAGATCTTTGTGGGACTTTAGAAACAGAAGATTTTCACCCTTTAGGGAGAATGGTACTCCTCACATAGCCGGTTCCTGTAGGAGGTTGATAATCCCGAGTTGCTGATAAAGTCAGGTCCTGACATGGGTTTGAGGCTGGAGGCAGAGATCCCGGTGCCTAGGAAAGCCCCATACTCCACCCAGCCCTGGAGAAGTGCCTGCAGAAGTGGCCAGAATCAGATCCTGAAATTCAGAGACTCAGGAAATCTGGAGTCTGAAACAGATTCTGTTGGGGTCTCTGATGCCAAGGTTCAAACCTACAGGCGTATAGAATTGCTTGTGGCAGGAAGGCTGGGGAAGAAGTGTTGGTTGCCGGAAATGTATTGGGTGCAGGTGACCCCCACGTCAGCTCAAGCACCAGCTTTCTCTCCGGGGAACATCCTGGTTTTCAGATTACCCCCACCTACTGCCACCGTCTTCCCTGGCCAGCACGCAGGGGCCTGCAGGACTCTTCTTTCCTCGCCTGGCTTTTCTAACATGGCCCACTTTCCCTGTTCTCTTCCTAGTAGCCAAGAGGGAAAATATTCTTTGGTCTCACTGTCTCCCAGCTCAAGGGGGACAAACCTGCAGCCCCCTCAAAGGAAGAAAAAAATATCGCACGCTAGGAAAAAAGTCACAGAAGTCATATTGCCAGGTAAGAGTTCACACTCAAGCGGACAGTTTCGTCTTGCTTCCCCACCTCAGTTTCCTCAGAAAGGCAGTAGTTTACAGGAGCAAGCAGATACCAGAATGCCTCGGTACGGAGTGTTATTGGCGTCAAAGGAAGCCTTCTGGGAGACAGTCAGTCTGATCAACATCCGTGACGTCACTTGCTTTGCTGGCTTCGTCACACTGAGCGCACAGAGGCCTGTGAGGCCCTCGGGTTCCGCTAAGAGGGCGGAGGTCCAGGGAGGGCACCTAATGGCTGCCCTAGTGGCGCAGCGGGTTAAAGCGCAGCACTAGGAAGCTGGCTGCAGCCACTTCAGCATGAGCTCCACCCCTGGCCAGGGAGCTGACCCACAGGGCGCAGCAGACCTCGCCTGACCCACCCGCTGCTCCCCTCAGCAGTGGATTTCAGTAGATCCGCCTGTTCTGCTCCCCACTCTGTCTCTAGGGAGTCCTCTCACCACCCCCCACCTCTGGCCTGCACCCATGCATAAATAAATCTTTACTTAAAAAATAAAAGGCCAAGTCAGCATTCAACTTCTGTTTAATTCTGGAGCCCATGCCTTGAAAACTGCATTGCTTCCTTACTTTTTTAATGACTGAAGTCTCTCGAGCCTTGATTGCCTTGATCTTCTGAAAAAGGAAAATGACGGTTCTGTGGCCTGAGGGAAGGATGGGACATACGGGGGCGCCTTTGACCTGTCCCTCCCTGGAGACCAGGGAGGGGCTGGAGCTGAGGGCCCCTCAAGGTGGGACCCTTTCCCCACTGACAGCAGGTGGGCTTCTTGTCTTCCTGTTTTCCTCTTTCCTACTGGAGGAAGCAGCTGGGGAGGGCATGGGGAAGGGCAGCCCCCGGGGGATAATTTTAGAAGAGAATCCTCTGGCAGAGGGAAGCAGGGGGAAGGGAAAGAGCTGAAATTCAACCTGATGCCCTATTCAAGGGCGGGGAGGGAAGGACACGGGATTCAGCCTGTGGCCTCCAGCAGCCGTCCCCCACCCCCAGGGTTCACCTCCTCCCTCCCGTTAGTCACTTCAGGCCCTCTCCAGAGAATATCCACATTTTTTCTTAGCTACAGTGAAGTCCACTGTTTAAGTTCACTTGTCCCGGCGTTGGCCACTGAGGTCCACCAAGCACCTGCTGTCCTCTACTTCGGCACAAGACACAGCTCAGATGTTTACTCTTCCTCCTGTTCCTCAGTGTCCCCAGCTGCTGCCCGCCACACGACCCACAGGGTAAAAGAGATGGCCAGGCTTTGACGCGGCCGGCCACCATGGCTGTCACCTGCGGCCTGGAGTGCAGGAGGCGCCTGGGAGTGTGGGCGCGGGCAGGTGCGCCTGGTTGAGGCACCTGGAGCGTGGTGTGGGCTGGCGTGAGTGGGCGCACCTGGCCTGGAGGCCGAGGCTATAAGGGAGGCGGGCGGCAGAGACTGCAGCTGAGCAACGGCTACCAGAGGAGAGTGGCTGCAGAGGAGATGCCAGAAAAACCCCAGAACCACTTGCGGGGGGGCTAGGAGGCCTGTCAGCCTCCCGGCGCCCCCTCCCTGCCTTGCCAGCCTGCAGGCCCAGTAACAACTGGCGCAGAAAGAGCATTAAAGCCTGAGAGGCTGGAGGACTCCGGGACTCTCTTTCATCTGGATGCCTGAGCGGAGCGGGAACTCACCGGGCCTGGGAGGGCCCAGAGCGCCGGCCTGCAGAAGCCCCATCTCTCCCCACCGCCCGGACCCGTCTCAGCCCACATCTTCCCATGTGTGTACCCGAGGACCCCGTGTGGCCGCTGCCCGTCTCTCCCGCCAGGCCATGGACTCTTACACTCCCCGGCCCCTCAAATACAGCTTGGATTCCATCCTCCTCCCATTCCAGCCTGACCTCTGACCCGGCCTGAAACTGGGAGCCAGGGACTCTTCGTCTCCCAGGACTGAGAGAAACCCCAGTGCCAGCTGCATTTGGGGCAGGTACCTGTGGCCGAGACAAGTGAGGGGCCCGCACAGTAGATGTGGAGACCCGGCAGCAAGGTAAGAGGGGTTTCTGCTCTGGGCAGGCCTTGGGGGGGCGGGGTGGGGGTGAGGAAAGGCAGGGGTGAGGAAAGGCAGGAGGGCTCGGGGAGCAAGATGGGGTCCGGGGGCTATCTGACAGAGACACCGGGCATCCGTCAGTAGGAAAGAGGAACATTTATTTGGCACCTGGTAGAATACAAAATCCTGGCAGTGGGAAGCGGAAAGTTCAGTCACCCCATACTTCCATATGGTGCTGACCCCAGGGCGGGCTTGGCCACAAGTCCCGGAAGCACCTAGCTCACAGAGCAAGGATTCGCTGAGCACCGAACTCCTGCAGGCCGGCCACGGTGCCAGGCGCCGGGGAGATGGGAGAGTCGTCTCCCACGTGACCTCGCCTTCAGGAGCTAATACCAGTGGATAAGACGAAACACGGAAAAACAGAACAAGTATGTTCGCTGTGGATGCTGCCAAGGGAATGTTGTGAAAAAGGAGGCTTTTGCATAGGGTTTCTTTCTTCCCTTCTCAAACACTTCTTGAAGATCTACACATGCCGGGCACGGGGCAGCCACTGGTGAATGAGCCAAGGTTTCAGTCCCCATGGGGCTGAAGCCCAGCAGGGAGGACAGGGAACAAGCGAAGCATGCAGATGGACAGTGAGCACTGTGGTTAAGGGCGAGGGAGGAAACAGACACAGCAAAGAAGCAAGGCAGCAGCCGCCCGGGCAGAGGGCTGGGAAGGCCTCCAGAAGTCGGCGCTCCAGCGGCGTGAACAAGATGGCGCCCACGCCGCTGTGCCCTCAGCAGGAGGGGCTGTGGCTGTCCAGCAGCGGTGACTTGAGAAGGCTGCAGTGACAAAGGGGCTTCAGGGCAGGGGAAGTGAGCACTCAGGGCAGTGAGTACCTAATGAGGTCTAAGGGGAAGGCGGGGCCAGAACTCAAGAGCTTATCTGAGGTGACAGAAAACATACAGCTTCTAAGCAGGGGACCGACATGATCAGATTTATATTAAAGCCTCCAAGCCAAAATTATATGGAGGGGGTGAGAATGACAGTCACGCTCTTTGCGAACTCTACAGAAAGCGCCTGGGATGAACACGAGATCTGCGGCAATGGGCTCCTTAGAACAGAGCCACGGGGAGCAGGAGACGTAAGCCAGATACAACCAGAGGGGCCGCAGCCTGAGCGGGGCGGGAATGCGGCCGCTACGTTACTCCCTTGAGCGGCCAAATGGCCCAGGGAGGTCGTGTTTGAGCAGGTCTGGGAGTAGATGACATGTGAAATGTGAACGTGCTGAAGGCAAACAGAGAAACAAGCAGGGAGACAACATGTGGGCGGCTTTCCTGGAAGGGGACCGTTCACAGGCAGAGGCTGGCTGGGCAGGGAAGCGTCCCCTCTCCTCTGCGGGCAACGCCAAGGGCGTATTTCAGCAGTGCCGCTTGGAGGAAGAGCAGCTGACGAGGTCTCGGGAACGTCCCTGCGCACACATCTGCGTTAGACCGGGGCCCCAGGCCTGATCATCAGCCAGGGGCGGGGGTCTCGGGGCCAGAGAGGAGCCAAGCGTGGGGCGGAGAGGTGTCCTTGCGCGGGGACGCGGGGCACAGGGTGCGTCCGTCGGCAGTGCCCCTACACGTGCCGTGTGGCTCCAGCCCATTGCCCTTCACAAGTCAATGAAAAGCGCCCGGTCAAGCGTCCCGTCAAGCACCCTGCCAAGCACCCCGTCAGGCGTCAAGCGCCCCGTCAGGCGTCAAGCGCCCCGTCAAGCACCCTGTCAAGCGAGGACACTCTCCAACGCTCACTCCAGGGCTGCAGTGGGCAGGAGGACAGAAACAGGCGCCCTCTGAGACTGTACCATGGCGCAGAGCCCTGGCGGGAACGGAACAGACAAGAAGGAAGCCGGCTGCCCTCTGCCCAGACGTGTCCACGGTGCCCGCCACGAGCTCAGCCGAAGGCGGCGGGGCCGGCACTGCACTTCCCCAGAAGCCGCAGTTCCGCAGACGGGGGAGCCTGGGAGGACCCAGCCCCTGAGGCGGGGACAGAAATCGCCCTCAGTGGCGGAGACGGCCTCATGTGGGTGGGTGTCCTGGGAAGAGGTAGAGATGCCGGCACAGGGTGCTGCAGTACTCGGACATCTCCTTGCAGCGGTGGAACTCGGTGCCTGGCGCGTAGCCCTCCCGCTCCTTGATGAGCGCGTTCACCTGGGCGCGAGAAACAAAGGGCCCCAGTCAGAGCGGCAGCCCCGGCCAGCAGGACAGGTGGGCAGAGGGCCCCGAACGGCACGGGGAGGGGGCGCGGCAGGGCCGACCAGAGCCTCTCACCTTCACAAGCATGTCGGCCACGTGCGTGTCGCCAGCCCGCTGGGAGAACACCTGGGCGAGGGCCTCGATGTACCAGGAGCCCCGCTTGGTGTTGCGCATGGCCGCGGTCCCTGCAAGGGGCAGCAGGACAGCAGAGGGGTCGCGGCAGGCCCTGGCCACCAGCACGCCCCCGCAGACGGGCCCACCATGCCCAGCCGAGTGTGGGCGGGCACTCCCGGCTCAGCCTTTAGGACGCACAGTACCTCGGAGGCAGGCGTAGCCACAGATCATGTCCGAGCGCGTGGGCAGCCGCGCCTTCAGCAGCCCCTCTCTGCCAGCATCGCTCTCCTCGCACGCAGGGTGTCTGGCTTGCTGCTTTCCGTCTTGCTGGTCGACCCCGCGGTCCGTTTCATCTGCAGAAAGGCAGACAGAAAGGACAAGGTATTATTTGCTCCCATCTCTCTGGGGCTCAAGCTCCTTGCAACCTTGACTGGGAAGAGCCATTTCCAGCTGTGGCCTCGTCCGAGGGCTGAGGAGCTAGAAGTCAAATGTCATTTATTCCCAGATCTCTCCCGGGCGCATCCACGACTCCACTGCTGGGGGTCCGCTGCATGGCCTCGCTTGAGCCACGCACATGGCCCGGGCAACCCCTAATCCGTGTGAGACAGGGAAAGTGGTGAGCCAGAGACTCCGTGTCCACGCCCTGCAAAGCGCCTATGTCCACGAGTCCTTGTTCACCTAGCAGGACATCTGGCGGTCACAGTAATCAATCATAAAATACTGACACATTTAATTCCATTACATATGAAAGTTAACAAACCAAAGATAACATCACTACTCACAGGCTGTATAAATATCACCAGCTTGTATCTGTATTCAGAAAAAAATTTAAAAACTAAGCATGGATCAGCTGTTTCCAAAGTGTTTTCTGTATTTTAAAACAGATTTTATATAAACATTTTACGTAATTAGTAAATGCTTTGAAAAAATTTCCCTTTCACGGGGCCTCCCTAGTGGCACAGGGTTTATTAAAGACAGCGCTGGTAAGCTACCTGCAGCCCCTGCAGCACGAGTTCCATCCCCGGCCAGGGAGGGACCCGCAAGGCGCGGCAGACCTCTCCTGTCTCCCCGCTGCTCCCCTCAGCAGTGTTTCAGCAGAGCCACCTGTTCTGCTCCCCACTCTGTCTCTGGTGAATCCTCTCACCCCCTCCCTGTACCTCTGGCCTGCACCCCAGTTCTTGTATGCATGAAATAAATTTTTTAAAAAATGGTAAAATAATTTACCTTTCTAATTCATAAGCCAAATTTAGCAAGTGGCCAAGATTTAAGAGACATTTAATAGAAAACACTCAAAATTGGGATAACTTGAGTATTTTCTCCTAAGACATCCAAAAAAGTAATCATTCAGCTTTAGTGAGAGCATCTGAACACAGCCTGAGCGCACGTCCCGCCCGCTGGCCCAAGCTGGGCACCCCAGCAGTGCAGGTTGATGATGCTGTATCTAGGGCGGGCAGGGTTCTGTGGGTGGGTGGCAGAGTGGGGGAGCATGCCACTGCCCGTACACACCCCCGAGGGAGTGGGGGTGGGAAGGGAGTGTGCAGGGCTGACCTGGAGCCGGAGACTAGGTGCCCAGGTGCCAAGCGGGCTGGAAGGCGCCCCGGGGCAGCGGGGCCGGGCCCCTCCGGGACCTGTCAGCTGCGGGAGAGGTGGTTTCCACAAACACCAATTACTAAGGCGGCAGGGAGATGGGTACAGATGTGGCCCCGGGCCCATGAAGGGGTGACTGTAGAGAGAAGGTGGACAGGCAGCGCAGAGATTCAGATCCCCCCAGTTCAGAGCGCTTTCTCCCTACTCAGATCGTGTGCTCTCTGCACCCGGGAGGGCCACCCGGCAGGTACCTCACCCTGAGGCGACACGCCCTAAGGGGCAGGCCCTGCTAACTGCCGCCGGAGCCCCGGTGTACACACACAGCAAATCTACTGGCCAATAAACGGTACTGGTATTCACCCCAACATTCTCGCAAGCCTTTCCCACGTTTTTGGCAGATTATTTTATGCATGACTCGATATTCAGAGCTGCCCTGCGTCAGTAGTGTCCCTGGCCTGAGGATGTGGCGCGAATAAAAAGGAAGTCCTGGCCCTCACATACTCTTAGCACAGCTGCCCCCATGGTAACTACCCTGGAAAAAGTCATCACGGCTTCCTGCTGCAGCTTCTGACAGCTCAGCCCTGCTGCCTGAAGTTCGACTTCTCTGTTGTGACTAAGGTTCAGCGTCAGCCGATTCTACCCCTGCGCCCCCAGGGAGGCCCTGGCAAAGATAAATTATTTTCAAAGCATTTATTAATTACGAAAATGTTTATATAAAATCTATTTTAAAATACAGAAAACACTTTGAAAACAGCTGATCTGTGCTTAGTTTTTCATTTTTCCCCCGTGACTACAGATACAAGCTGGCGATATTCATACAGCCTGCATGGGGGCAGGCACGTCTCTCCGCATACAGATGCGGTTTTCTTTATTTTAAATTTTCTTAATTTTTAAAAAAGATTTTTAAAAATTTATTTGTGCCTGTACTGGGGTACAGGCCACAAGTTGGGGGAGAGGTGAGAGGATTCACTGGAGACAGAGTGGGGAGCAGAACGGGCAGATGCACTAAAATCCGCTGCTGTGGGAGCAGCAGGAGAGAGAGGGCTGCCGCGCCCTGGGGGTCGCTCCGTGGCCGGGGATCGCACTTAGGCCACAATGGCTGCAGAGAGCTTGACGGGTTGACTTAACCGCAGTGAGGCCCCTGGATGCCGTTTTACAACTAGACTATGTTGTGTGTGGAGTGGGGGGAAGGGGGCTTGGGCTCATCTTAATGTGCTGGTTACGGTGGTGCTTCCTTCCCCTCTGACAGGTTTGCCATTCCGCACCTACGTCAAGCTTGTCCGAATTGTCTTACCAAATTAAGCGTTTCAAAATCTCTTCATGTCAAACTGACTAAAGATGATCTATTTCTTACTACTTACTCCTTGGACTTACTTTCTACCTCACTCAGTTTCACCCCTGCTCACCCAGGGCCTCTGAACTATTCTCAAGTTACTTCACGTTCATTTGCTATATTTTTCTCAGATAACTGGAGGGCTCTTCAGAAAAAGAGAACACATTTTCTTTTATGGTCACTCCAGGTGGGATCTAGTCATCTTGTAGGGTCTTACTAAATTACATCTTAGGTGCGAGTCAGAGGATAACGACGATATTAACCACTTATATTCGCTGAACATATAACAGATTGAAAAAATGGAATGTTCAGACAGAGACCTTTAAACTATAAACGCCTCGAAGCACAGAACAGAAGCTAACGGGGCAAGCTGGCATTTTCCGGGGGTTTATCGGGGGCCAGGTGTGTCTCAGTAAGTCCTTTGTATGTGTTTCTCACTCAGTCGCCGCTGCACCCTACAAGTAGGCCGATCATTATGTTTTATACTGAGGATGCCGGACGCCACGGTCGGGCGACACCAAGCGACTTCTCTAGCATGACACCGTCACAAGAAGCAAGCCTGCGGGCCTTCTGAGCTTTGTCACACAGTACTGGCCTTGAGGGGGTAAAATGCATCACATGCAGGAGAAAAGGCTGGAAGCAGCCCAGGGAAGAGCGTGAGTCCAGGCTGTCCTGCGGGCACAGTAACGACAGGAGGCGGCGCCGGGACGGAAGAGCGGGCTAAAAGAGAAGTCAAAGGAAGCTGCGGAAAGCGGGCAGTGGGGTAGGGAGGAAGGGGCGCGACAGGAGAGGCGGCAGAGACAGAGGGACACCTCTGACTGGAACGGGCGGCCGAAAGAAGTACATCCAGGTTAATGAGCACAGCAGAGTCCGAGTTCTCAGCAAAGACGACAAAGACACGGCTGCAGTCCTGCAAGAGGACACGGCGCTGCGGGAGCTCGAGGGCCTGGGCGCCGGGGCTGCCCAAGCCCCAGCACACCCCATGCATTGGGAGACACTTACAGAGCAAGAGAGGCGGTGGCAGCAGTGAGCAGAAGGTGCCCAAGGGGTCCAATAGCACCTGAGAGGAGCAAACAGGAAAGTGAGAGCTGGAGGGAAGCCGCCCCGGGCCGCCACCCTGGTGTCGCTCTGCAGGGCACTCACCCCCACGGCAGGCCTGGATGAAGAACATCTTGGGCTTGTTCTGGAGGCTTGGGCAGTGGGCGTTGTCGAAGAGCCGAAAAACCTCTTGCAGCTGCCAGGAGAAAGAGGGAGAAGGGGGGTGAGGCCCGGGCGCCGGCACACCTCCTGGTGCCACAGCAGCCAGAGGGAGGGGGGGAGGGGCGGCTGCCGGCCCAGGGCACACACACCTGAAGCAGCTTGCCGTCCACACCATACACGCCGCCCTCCACGCCATGAGAGAGGAGCGCCACGATGCACGAGTCGGTGGCACGGTGAGCGGGCAGCTGGGCAAAATCCTGCAGCTTCTCCTGCATCTCCTACAAGAAAGGCCCCCGGACTGTGGTCACTGAAGTCAGCGCCGGCACAAGCTCTCTTTGGGGTCTGTTTAAAGCCGAAGCAACTAGAAGAGGAGTCGTTAGCGTGCTCCGGTCAGTGACACGCCAGGGGCTCGTGCGACACTAAGCCAGCAGGCTGAGGGAAATTGACTGAGGACAGAGGATTGTGAATATAATTTCACAAAATTCACGCATGTTCTGAGCTATGGCAAGAGCTCCCAGAAGCGAGCAGTCACTAACGAGCCCCGGTAAGCTCCCTCCATCCCCCACTCATCAGCTCCTTCAGCGCAGGCGCCTTCCTTTAGAAATGGCCAAGGGGGCCCAGGCGAGCTGCGAGAGCAACGCGCCTGTAAGGAGACGGCAGTAAGGCGACAGCAGACAGGGCTAATGGAGCCGGAGCGCAGGG